GTGTTTTTGGGCTCAGGTGCTCTCTGATCTGTCAGGGAGGTAACAGTGGCTAAAGAGGCGCAGGACTCGTGTTTCTGACAGGTTTGAGTCGCTCTGTGTCATCAATACACTTATGCAGCCTGGGAAAGCCCAAACAGTAGCGCACCTGATACTGCACAATTCCAGGAAAACTTCAAAGTGTGTGTGTTGTTGTTTTTTTCTGATGACAATTTGCTTTCGTGCTTTAAAATGCATTCTGAAAATTGTCCAGGTTTGCTGTGCTTGTTTATAGTGCTGCATAATTTGGCCAAAATTTTGTGGTTATATATTAATATGGTTATAAAATAGTTATGGTTATTAAATAAAAATATGGTTAAGTAAAAATAAAAACAATTATATTACGGTAAAATTAAAAACGACTATTTTAGAAAAATATTGTAATACTAATTTAACTTAATAATAATAATAATAGTGCAATTTATTTCTAAGTAAACATTACTAGATAGAAACAAAGTTCGTAGAAATATTTTACTGTAAAATAAAAAAAACTACTATTTTAGAAAAATAATGTAGTAATACTAATTTCATTTTCCAATAATATCAATAATAATACTGATTATTATTATTATTATTATTATTATTAAATAAAAATTACTAAATAAAATAAGACCAATATTTCACTGTAAAATAAAGTAGAATATTGGAAAAAGAATACAAATTTTATTATTAACTTTAAGATTACAATACTAATATTTGTTTATTTACATATGATTTAGCTGGTGTGATCTATGATTGTCTGCACAGATTCAAGTTACTTCATTACACAGTTAAATATCAAATATGTTCTGATTCGCCTGCGTTTGTTTGTCATGTGTAATGATGTCTTCCAGCTCACTTTTATCATTTGTTTTTATTTGATGTTTATATATAGCTACTTTAGATTTTTGTCACAGTGAATATAGCCGTAACATTAATAGCACACTAGCTCCAGGTCAGCGTTACTCTCGTCACTGAAGAGCTTCGTTTGCATGTCAATCACATGCTTCTGAATCAATAGGGAGGTCATGTGATTCCTCGTCAGACTGTGCCGTCTCGTTAGCGTGACGCTCTGCTGTTGGGTTGTTAAATCAAATCACGGATGTAACGCGTGTTCATGTGTCTCTGCGCTGCTGATTCTGCTTTTGTGTCTTTATTTGATTCATGTTGTTCACAAAGCGCCATGTGTTCGTTTCGCTCATTTCTCAGACTCTCAGTGCAGTGGATGATTGACAGGCGAGTGGGCGGTGCTTCACATCAGTGTGATGTCATCACAGCTTATCGTCTCTTTAATTGTAAATCTTCCTGGTAGTAGTTCTAGGGTTAGGGTTCTTCTGTATGAAAGGCATCTGAGGTATTTGCCGTCTCACGCACAGGAAAAGCATCATCATCATGCGCTGATTGTGTCGGAGCTGCAGCTGTACAAACGACAGGTCACACATTCCTGTGACGTCCCGCCCCGTTCACACCAGAGTTGTTTGAGTGTGTGTGTGTTTGAGTCTGTGTGTGCGAGAGAGTGAGTGTGTGTGCGAGAGAGTGAGTGTGTGTGCGAGAGAGTGAGTGTGTGTGTGTGTGAGTGTGTGTGTGCGTGTGTGTGTGTGTGTGTGTGTGTGTGTGAAAGAGTGAGTGTATGTGTGTGTGTGTGTCTGTCTGTGTGTGTGTGATGAGACAAGGGGCAGAAACCAGACAGCTGTGATATTGACACACACACTCAAACACACGCGCACACACACTCACACACACGCACACACTCAAACACACACGCACACACTCTCACTCACACTCAAACTCACACACACTCACACCCAGATTGTGAATCGTTCTCATAGGAATTATAAATGAGCTGGTTAGATGATCACTATGGCATTGATTCTGTTTAAAGAGCCGATCATCGGTTTGATTGTGCAGTCATGTGACATGAAGCTGGTAGATTTAACCGGGTTGGTTACTGGAGCATCTTGTTTATAAGTGCAGTAGTTTGAGTTGCGGGGTAAACTGCTTCTCCACCTAAATATAACGTCACCTCCCTGACCCTCGTGCGGCTCACCTAACCCGCTCTGCCAAAGGTCAAAGGTCGTCAGTGGTTGTGGTTCACATGCTGTTTTTCAGAGTTTCACTGATGGGTTTTGTCTGTGTTTGTGTTTCTCCTCACGTTACAGGCCATCATTTTGAGTTTGATAAACTCTTTGGACGTCATCGTGTCTTAAAGTTGAAATGGTTTTCACAAGACTCATGTTTGCGCAGCAGGTGTGTGTGTGAGCAAACTCACTGATCAGACGCAGAATGAAGCCGCTCTGTGACGCATTGATTGCGGTGAGATGCTGTGAATGTGTTTAATGCCATGAGTTTTTGCTCCTCATCTGACTTTAGGGCCCTATGAAATCCGTTTTATTTTTTCCAAATTCTGTTTGAGTTTTCCTAGACTCTGTTTTAAAGGGCACCTGTTATGCCCCTTTTTACAAGATTTAATATAAGTCTCAGGTGTCCCCAGAATGTGTCTGTGAAGTTTCAGCTCAAAATACTCCACAGATCATTTATTATATCATTTTGAAAATGTTGAGTGGAAGCAGAAACGGGCTGTTTTTGTGCCTGTCTCTTTAAATGCAAATGAGCTGCTGCTCCCCGCCCCCTTTTCCAGAATAGAGCTGCGCCATTACAGCTCGTAACTGCTAAAAAAACATCTGTTTGGTTCTGATTATCATGTCTACCGCGCTGAAATCATGCGTTTTAAAGCCATATCAGTTGAAGCTTCTGATATACGGTTTCTTGAGCGCACACATCCGAAGCGCACACACAGAAAGCAGCTGTTACACGGCATGTGTGTACTAGACGCAGTTCTCTTTCACAAGTTTGTTAAAAACACGCATGAGTTACAAAAACAGTTGGTTGTGTCTATGAAGGTAAACAGCTGGGAAAGAAATCACGTTTATATTAGATCTGTGTATTAAGCGACAGCAGCATAATATACAGTACTTATACTGCTGACTACGCTGTTAATATATAGAGCCAAACAATAAAATAAAAGCAGAAAATCACTCGCTGCTCTGGACTGAATCACGTCTATAACTGTAATATGTATTTTTATCATTATAGGGTGGTTGTGTACACACACTGCTAACACACATTTATGTTCAAACAACGTGTAACATTGAATTTTGCAATAATAGGTGCCCTTTAATGGTTAAATTAAATTTGTATTTAAAAAGCATGTCTAATTAATTGAAATCATGAAGGTTACACAATTTAACAGCAATTTATTGCAGGTTTAACAAAAATTTTATTTTTAAGGCCCTATGAAATTTTTTTTTTTTTTCTGAAATGTTTTTTTTTTTCATTTGTTTTATTTTTTTTACCAAATACTGTGTTTTTCTATTTTTTTTCTGGATTCCATTTTAATGGGTTCATTATAATTGTAATAATCAAAAGCATCTCTAATTAATCAATTTCATAAAGAATTTATTTATTTAATTTCTTTTTCAGAAATACTGTGTTGTGTATTGACATTTTCTCCTGCTAAATAAATTCTGGTAAATATTTTTTTCTGGTAAATATTCCTTAAAGGGGTCATATGATGCTGCTAAAAAGAACATTATTTTGTTTTTTTTTTTTTTTTACCAAATACTGTGTTTTTTCTATTATTATTTTTCTGGATTCCATTTTAATGGTTTCATTATAATTGTAATAATCTAATTAATCAATTTCATAAAGAATTTATTTATTATTTTATTTCTTTTTCAGAAATACTGTGTTGTGTATTGACATTTTCTCCTGCTAAATAAATTCTGGTAAATATTTTTTTCTGGTAAATATTCCTTAAATATAATGTTAATAATAATAATTATTAGCAGTAATATTATCATTACAGTAAGTAATATTTCTGTCACAGTTTCTTCCAGTTAACCGAACTTTTATTGTGACGGGTTGCTCTGAAGACCTTTTTTAACTTTTATGAAGAATATCTCTTTGGATTTGAGACTTTAGTCTTTGCAACTTTACAGATCTTCTTTATGCACCAAGAGCTTGTAACACTCTAAAGAGAAAGGAAGAATTGAAATCGCATCATATGACCCCGTTAAATATAATTTTAATAATAATTATTATTAGCAGTAATATTATCATTACAGTAAGTAATATTTCTGTCACAGTTTCTTCCAGTTAACCGAACTTTTATTGTGACGGGTTGCTCTGAAGACCTTTTAAGTTTCTGATTGTAATCATTATATATGATATGACGATAGTTTTACTCAAAAGAAACGGTAAAATGCTCATGAAGTGACTCTATCAGAGCAGTTCTAGAGATTATGTGCTCATATATTGAGACGGCAGAGGCTCAGTAGTTGTGCAGTAAACTAAACATTCTTTCACAGAGACGCACATAACATATAGTATCCATATTTAAAAAATTCTGGTAAATATTTTTTTCTGGTAAATATTCCTTAAATATAATGTTAATAATAATAATTATTAGCAGTAATATTATCATTACAGTAAGTAATATTTCTGTCACAGTTTCTTCCAGTTAACCGAACTTTTATTGTGACGGGTTGCTCTGAAGACCTTTTAAGTTTCTGATTGTAATCATTATATATGATATGACGATAGTTTTACTCAAAAGAAACGGTAAAATGCTCATGAAGTGACTCTATCAGAGCAGTTCTAGAGATTATGTGCTCATATATTGAGACGGCAGAGGCTCAGTAGTTGTGCAGTAAACTAAACATTCTTTCACAGAGACGCACATAACATATAGTATCCATATTTAAATGGTATTTTTGCAGCTTAATATTCACAGACACTAGTCCATATCGTGTTTTGATTTTAGTGTACTGACCTACTTTGATGTATCCGTCCAAAATGTGGCAAATTCCGTGACATTCCGCATTATACAGTAAATTCCGCTGGATTCCGCACTTCTGTCTGTGTTTTCTGCCTCGTGGAAATCATAGGGCCCTGTGACTATGGCTTGTTTCTGGTTTCTCAGGTACATGTATTGGACAGATTGGGGTGAGGTCCCGAAGATCGAGCGCGCTGGGATGGACGGGACGCATCGCTCGGTCCTCATCGACTCTGAGATCTACTGGCCCAACGGCCTGACGCTCGACTACGACCTGCAGAAACTCTACTGGGCCGACGCCAAGTTCAGCTTCATCCACCGCTGCAACCTGGACGGATCGGGCAGGTAACGCCATCAAATTATTTTATAAGCATTTTTACCTTTATAAAGTCATTTTTTCTATAAGTGTGCATCATTTTTTGAGTCAAATTCTTACTTTTAATCAGTCAATTAGAATAATAAGACATTTTTGGACTGTTAATTACCAAGCAAATGAAATCCGTATCAACAAAATTAATCTTTGCAATGCAGAGGAAACACAGAAGCTGCGTCTGAAGAGGCATTTAGATGTGTTTACACACTGTTTAGTGCAGGACATGAATGCTTTAACTTGCAGTTACAAATGCATTGATATTGTTTTGATATTTTAAACATAAAACGTAGGCCTGGGCGATAAAATGGTATCAATATTTATCGACGGTACTCCATCGATAACGATAGAACAAATGTTCGATATAGGCACGTGCTATGAGTGACGCAGACAGCACACACAAACACGAACATGACACACGTGTCTGCCTGTGGTGAGGAGATTGTGAATGAAAAAATTAATAATACAGTTTTAATTAATAAATAAAATAATAAATAATATAATTAATAAAACTCTAATGTATGCGTGTGCTCTGTAGGGGTGTTTTGTTTGGTTTTTGCAAATTACTCGATAAAGTCAAATTGCACATTGTTAAAATAACAATTATGAATTTACGATATTATCGCAGACGATATATATCGCACACCCCTAGCCTGCATGCGGCGCGTGTCCATCAGCTCACGTGTGTGTGTGTGTGTGTGTGTGTTCTCAGGGAGGTGGTGGTGAAGGGCTCTCTGCCGCACCCGTTCGCGCTGACGCTGTACGAGGACACGCTCTTCTGGACGGACTGGAACACACACTCCATCCACGCCTGCCTCAAACACACGGGAGAGAACAGCCACGAGATCCACACCAACATCTTCTCACCCATGGACATACACGTCTACAGCCAGAAGCGGCAGCCGCTGGGTAAGAGACTTGTGAGAGAGTGAGTGCGTGTTTGTGTGTGTGCGCGTGAGTGTGTTTGTGTGTGTGCGCGTGAGTGTGTTTGTGTGTGTGTGCGTGTGCATGCGTGTGTGTGTACGCGTGAGTGAGTGAGTGAGTGTGTGTGCATGTGCGCACGTGCGTGTTTCTGTGTGTGTGTGTGAGAGAGAGAGTGTGTGTGTGTCCTGTTCTTCCCATGGTGCTCCTCGAGTAGTTTCCTGAACGCTGCTGGATTCGAGCCTCTGCAGAAATGATTATGACACACGACTCCTGGTTTGGCTTCTCGCACACAATGGAGCGTCTGTTCTGTCCTCAGATTGAACGCAGAGAATTTCTCACAGCGCTGACAGAATCCTCCGTCTCTCGCTCTCGCTGCAGATCTTTCTCACCGTCTTCCTCTGCTTTTCCTGCGGTTTCTCAATCTTTAGGCACCTCATGATCCAATAAATTTAATTTCAAATTATATAATTTCCATTTTTGTGTTTTTTAATGTGATTATTTTAATTATTAAAAAAAAAAATTTTACATTTTATGATTTAATCATGTTTTTGTATTTTTATTTTAAAATGGTTTTAAATCATTGAAGAGAGAATTGCAATGCATTGAAGAATTGTATTTTTTCCCTTCCTCCCGAGTTCTTACGAATTCCCTGTTGCTAAATGAACTATTTTTGTAATTTTTGTCTGTTTGTGTGTGTGTGTAAGTTAATGAGAGTGTGTGTGTGTGCAAATGTGAGTGTAAGTGTGTGTGTGCGTGTGTGTGTGTGTGTGTGTGAGAGTGAGTGTGTGTGTGAGAACACACACACACACACACACACACACACAAACACACTCTCACACAGACTATACTCACACACACACACATATATAGACACACACACACAGACATAGACACACAGACACACACTCTCCCACTGAGTTCATCTCATAGGCTTTCACTGTTTTTCTGTCAGGTTAATGCTATTTTCTGTGTTCTAACCTGACCTCTGACTACTATCCAACCCTGAGAGAAACCACACCAGATTTAAATGTGATTCATGAGCTCTAGTGACTCAACAGGTTTCACTGTAAGTGAGGACAGTTTTAAATAGTCAAACCTTCACATGATTACAGGAATCGTGATACTGAAGGTTATGGGTCTTTATAGTGCAGGTGTGTGAATGAGGAGGTCTTGGGATGATTATGTAATAATCTAACAAACATTTCTGTGAAATCCGAGAGTGTGTGTGTGAAGCTCAGCTGTAGCTCAGGATGGTGTAAGGACATGGGTTTGGTTTCCAGTGAACACATGAACTGATCAAACAGATGTATAGATTGAATGCAGTGTGAGTCGCTATGGATGATCGTGTCTGCCAAACGTTTAAATATAAACCATTGTTTGCTTGATTTTCTGATCTGCATCTGCAGTATGTTGACCGGTGTGTGTGTGCTGGTTACCAGCTTCTGCCGGCTCACATTAATTCGCTCTCGGTTGACGTCGCAGGGTTACCGTCTGCTGGTTGCTACGGTAACGTGGTTCTGCGTGTGATCTGTGTTTCTGGGTCACATGACCGCTGCCTCTGTCTGATGATGATGATGATGATGGCAGGCTGCGGTTCACACCGGGCTTCACTGTCTGAATGTGTTTGACTGAAAGAGACTCGTTTGTAAGGCCTTTTGTTTGCTTCCTCCCCCCTCTGGACACCAGCAGCACGGCCTGATGGGAGATCATTTCTCTGTTCAGTGGCCTAGTATTGAGCAGCACGAGCAGCAGTGGGGGCAGTAATTGTGTGTGCGTGTGTGTGTGTGTGTGTGTGTGAATGAGTGTGTCTGTGTGTGTGAGTATAGTGTGTGTGTGTGTATGTATGAGTGTTTGTGTGTGAGTATAGTGTGTGAGTGAGTGTGTGTGTGTGTGTGTGTGTCTGTGTTAGGGATGTAACGGTATGAAAATTTCTTATCACGATTATAGTGACCAAAATTATCACAGTTATCAGTATTATCACGGTATTGTTAAAATGTGCTGGAGATGTTAAAAAAGTACCAACACATAAATCACTTCTCTTACAAGCACCAAACTTTACAGTTTTATTCCTATCTATATTCTGAAGATTTGTTCATATATCATTTACACTGATTTATAAAATAATTTATTCCTAAAAACGTGGTGAAAATGTGTTTGTTTTCTGATTTATGGAGTGAGAAACCCTAACATCAGACAAGAATATTGAACCAGTGTTCAGATTTCTGTTCTGGAAATGTATGCAAATTAATGCATATTTAATTAGATAATGCCTCATTTGCATATTTAAACATAGCATTTCCAGAAAGTTGTAAATCTTGTACAAAACAGCTGTCTTGATGTATATGATTTATCAGCTGAGAGGAGTATGATGATATGATTAGTTAATGACTGATTGTCTTCTGTAACGCACTGAATATGATATTTTTATTGTTTTTTTGTTTTGTTCGAACAGTGAAAATCAATGTGCTTCCAGCGTTTTTTAATAACTCTTCTTTAGTGTTCAGCAGAAGTGCGTAATGTACACTGGTTTGGTCTGAGCATATACACTCCAGTCTCTCGTACGAAGACCGTCTGTGTTGTGACCTCTGTCCTCTGACCCTGTCCAGGTGCCACTCAGCTGCTGCTTCTGGCGCGGCGCACAGACCTGCGGCGGATCTCTCTGGACACGCCAGACTTCACCGACATCGTGCTGCAGACCGACGACATCCGGCACGCCATCGCCATCGACTTCGACCCGGTGGAGGGACACGTCTACTGGACGGACGACGAGGTGCAGGCCATCCGCAGGTCCCACCTGGACGGGAGCGAGGCTCAGTTCGTGGTGACCTCGCAGGTGAATCATCCGGACGGGATCGCCGTGGACTGGATCGCACGCAATCTGTACTGGACCGACACCGGCACGGACCGGATCGAGGTGACGCGGCTGAACGGAAGCATGAGGAAGATCCTGATCTCGGAGGAGCTGGACGAGCCGAGGGCCATCGTGCTGGACCCCGCCGCCGGGTGAGACCTCGTCTGCTTGAAACTCCGTTTGAACGAGTTTCTGCTCTGTTTTCCTGTCGATCCGACGGCCTCTTCCCGTTTCCTGCGCTAGTTCAGTTCAATCAGTAGTTCACTGAGCATTTGGAAAATAATGCAGTCAGTCATATGGGGCCCTATGAAGTCTGTTTTATTTTTTCCCAAATTCCGCTTTTTCCGTGTTAAAATTTGTAGGCTGTTTTAATGGTTAAATTATTTAAGTTATTATTTAATAATTAAATTAAATTATTTTATTAATCAAAAAGCATGTCTATTCTAATTAATTGAAATCATGAAATTTACAATATTAAACAGGAAGTTTAACAAAAATTACATTTTTAAGATCCTATGAAATTAAATTCAGTTCTATTTTTACCTAATTCTGTTTTCCACTAATTTTCAGGATTCCATTTTAATGGTTTCATTAAATATTAATAATCAAAAGCATCTCTAATTAATTGATTTCATTTAAAATCAATATTATTTTATTATTTTATTTTATGTTGTTATTATTATTTAATGCACAACACAGACATACTGTTATGTGTTTACAATTTTCATCTAAGTAAATTCTGGTAAATAATTTTTCTGGCAAATATTTCTTTAAAAATAATGCTTTAATAATAATTTTATTATTCGCAGTAGTACTCTCATTACATTAAGTACGATATCTGTCACGGTTTCTTCAAGTTAAACCGAACTTTTATTTTGAAGGGTTGCTGTGAAAACCTTTAGGTTCCTGATTATATATGATATGATGATAGTTTTTCTCAAAAGAAACGGTAAAATGCTCATGAAGTGACTCTATCAGAGCAGTTCTAGAGATTATGTGCTCATATATTGAGACGGCAGAGGCTCAGTAGTTGTGCAGTAAACTAAACATTCTTTCACAGAGACGCACATAACATATAGTATTCATATTTAAATGGTATTTTTGCAGCTTAATATTTACAGATACTAGTCCATATCGTGTTTTGATTTTAGTGTACTGACCTACTTTTGATGTATCCGTCTAAAATGTGGCAAATTCCGTGACATTCCGTGTTATTTTTGTATGTTTTGCTGTACTTAATGTGTTTTTGTTGGTTTTTAAACTCTTTTAAAGAACAGAATAGAAATAGAATAGAAAGCTTTACTTTGTTAGAAGGAAGGGAAATTTACATACGATTTAAAACATTGATTTATCCGTCTAAATTGTGGCAAATTCCGTGACATTCCGTGTTATTTTTGTATGTTTTGCTGTACTTAATGTGTTTTTGTTGGTTTTTAAACTCTTTTAAAGAACAGAATAGAAATAGAATAGAAAGCTTTACTTTGTTAGAAGGAAGGGAAATTTACATACGATTTAAAACATTCAAATGCAGAAATTAACTGCTGGCCTTTGGTTTGTAACGGTTAAATATAAATATGTATGCAGCATGTTACAAGTGTTGTATTATTTGACCAATTTTGAAGTCGTTTAAAATCATTTTGTTTTTGAAATCCACCCTGAATCCTTCCTTCTGCTGGGATCAAAGGAATCCCAATCCTACTAAAACGTTTGATCTGGATCAAAAACTAGACTGGATTATATGATCGAACCTGATTTCAAAACCATTTTTTTCTTTTGAACAACCCATTTTCAAGGTTCGATCCAATCCGATGGCCAGAAACCGATCAGAGCCCTGTTGAAGCACAAGCTCCTGGAGTTTCTGAAATGATAAGCGTGCTCTGGTGTCGTCAGAGGCTGCTGGAGCTCCGTGTTCAGCGTGTGCTGAAGCGTGTGTCCCGTGTCGCTGCAGGTACATGTACTGGACAGACTGGGGTGAAGTGCCGAAGATCGAGCGGGCGGCTCTGGACGGGACAGAGCGGCTGGTGCTGGTCAACACGTCTCTGGGCTGGCCCAACGGACTAGCGCTCGACTACAGCGAGAGGAAGATCTACTGGGGAGACGCCAAGACCGACGTCATCGAGGTCAGACCGATGTATCCATCACGATCATGCACACAAGCAACAATACTTTCCATCACTTTCCACTAGAATACGTGTGTGGGAATATGAGACGTTAAACTCCTCATCAGTATTCACTATTTAAAGGGAACCGATTATGCAAAAATCACTTTTATAATGTGTTTGAACACAGTTGTGTGGCTGCAGTGTGTGAAAGCAACCAGGCTGTAATGGTAAAAATACGATGTCGGCGCTAAAGAGTGCTCCGATCAGGATTCTTGAGGCCGATCACAGAAAGCAGTATCTGCCGATACGATCACCGATAACGATCTTTAATTAACGCTTAGGAGTAGCGTTGTTTTTATCCATGCTGAAACATTTTTAAATATCTTGAAAAAAATTCTTTAATGTTTTTATTGCGTTGACAGTTTTTTCTTTTGTTTAATACATTTGGTCTTTGGTAAATCTAGAAAAGATGATGCTGTGTTGGCTATGACTAAGAGAGATCATTCAAGACTCAAACTGGTTTCATAGAGGAACGCAGCAACAGAAACGTTCAAATACCGATTCTGCTCGGAGTTAACAATCTTTTTTTTTTCTCTCTCATTTTTAAGCCCTGCTTTATGCAATTGACCAATATTGGTATCGGAATCAGCCAATAGTTGTTTGTTAAAATCGGTATCGGCCAAAAAAATCCTTTAGGTGCATCCCTAATAATTACTACATTTTCGTGTTACTGCAAACAATGCGCTGTTACTTTAATTCAGTGCTTGCAGCGCAGCAATAGACTCGGTCTGGAAATGATCTCTGCTCTGCTGCAGACGCACCGCTCCTGAACACACTGCCGGACCGCAACCGTGTGCAGTGCGAACGTGTTAACATGAGTGCGGAAAACATACACATCACATACACACTGCAAACGGAGTAATGTGAACCTGGTGTTATGTGTGTGCGCTGCGAGTGTGCATGAGCTCAGTCTCCAGCTGAATGGTTTAAACACTGGCAAGAATTAAAAAGAAATGCAATTTATAAACTTTAGTGACGATGCAACACTGCCTCGATTGTGCAAGTGATGATTCCTGTGTTAACTGTGCAGCGTGCAGCTCGCTTATAGACAGACGTGATGTGATTTGAAGCCTTTTGTGCATTTTGAGAGAAAGAGAGAGCGCGCGGTGATTCACTCACGCTGTTTGTGAAGTTATCAAAGTTTTCAAATTACTTTATAAGTTATTTAATGAAGAAATATGAATTGTACCTCACCTTCAGCATTATAATTATTTCACCTGCGTCAGACAGCGACTGAGACAGTGCCAAACCTTGAGACCGTTTTTATAGAGACCGTTAGCGTTAGAGTCGTTAGCCCATCAATCGGAGCTCCCCTACTAAAGAAGCAATGCAAGTGCTGTGTTTTGGGATGCACCAATGAACACCGCTCCATAGACTCCCTCCATCTGAACCGCTAAGGACACTGTGGTTAAGTTTCACTTTCGAAGGAAATGTACAGAAAATAAATTGATAAAGTCACGCCAATCATTTTACACCGTACTGCCTCACAAACGAGGGTCATTTCAACGCTGACTTTTCGCAAAGTCTGATTCTGAAAGAGGGATCAATACCAACGCTTCGTGTGCGAACGTCAGATCCAGGCAAAGTAAGCGCTTTGTATTTTGTTTTCAAATTGCCTTTCTGAAAGAGCTTCTTGGCTCTCTGTAAGGCTAATGTTGCTAAAGCTATGCTGCCAGAATGATCGTAAACAGGAATGTGGTAGTTAAAAAATGCTTATGAAAGCAATGTGAGTTTCGGACCGTTTCAGTGCATGAGATTTAGGCATATGACTGTATCAGATTTTCATGTTGCGATTAATTGCTAATGCTTTTATCACGGTATTGAAATTTATTTGCTAAATGTGTTGTCATAATACAGTGTAACAGGTTTGATAATTTTTTACGTATAACACAAAGAACATTTAAATAAGCAAATGCAATACACAAAAAAATGTATAAAGTAAAAAATTCACACAGATTAAAGTGCAAAAGAATTATGAAGACTAAGTAACACTTTACAATGAGATCTCATTAGTTAATCTTAGTTAATGCGTTAACATTATCAATGAGCAATAGCTACAGAAGTTATTAATCTTTGTTTAAAAAATACAACTGTTAGTTCATGTTAGCTCAGTTCAGTAAATAACACCGTTGCAAACTTGCAACTTTTGATTTAAACAGTGTTATTAAATATTGAAATTACCTAAGATTAATGAATGTTTAGAAGAATTTTTCATTGGCAGTTTATGTTAACTAATGAATTAACTAATGTTAACTAATGGAGCCTTAATGTCAAATGTGACCGAACAAATAAATAATCAAAACAATTTCTAGGGCATGTTGTAGTCCAGATTAAAATGTAAAAAAAGTTTGAAAATAAATAGCCTATAAGTCTAAATATTTAAGTATTTGGCGCTGTGATGAACACCAATATATTCCTTGAGGTTTACTTATAATGTTGCTAAAGTTATTTTGCACAAAAAAACAAATATGTGGAAAAATTATTATTTTCAACCCTCATTCTGACCCTCTCTCTAAAACGACCTGTTTTAAGGGGTGGGTCCTTTAAGGCTCGTCAGTAATCAGCCGCTGTTGTGATTGGCTAACGTCACTGCATAGGAAACAGTATCAACGCCCCCTCACTATTGTGAGTGTTTTGACAACATGATCAAAGTAAACGGTCATTTCCAGACAAAGCATTATGAAATCATTTACTTGTGTTTGTGATGCGGCTGCAGTCAGATCTAGTACCGCTTCTTTGTGACTCTCCATGACTTTGGCTGCGTTTACACTTGGCATTAACATGCGTTCTGTATCCGGATGTTGTCCACATACACATTAAAAAGTCAAGTGTAAACACGCTTCTGATCGGAATGTTATCCAGTCAGCGTGTCCTGGTCCAGAGGTAGTCGAGGACGCATTGTGATCGGATCTCAGTGTAATGTAAACGCAATCCAGCCATCGTGTCAGCATTAGCAGGTCTAAGCCCCGCCCCCTCTCTCCCGAACTGTCAGAAGAGAGATGGAGAACGCCAGGCAGTGGAGCGCTAGTGAGACTCGTACACTTATCTTTGATTTGTAAAATGTCCCGCGACTGAAAATGGTTTTCAAAAGAAAACCCACTACTTCAGGCCGACTTTGCTCCGGGGCCGTCCTCTGCAGACTTATTTAGATATTGCGTGGGAACAACAGATCCGATCGGTTATCCAGATAGAGAAGTCAGCTGATGTTGCCAAGTGTAAACACGCCTGATTAACTGATGATCAGATCTGCTTGATCAGATCACGGTGATCGCATGTTAATGCCAAGTGTAAACACAGCCACTGTGCCTCATTTACAAAACAAAATCCTCAGACACGATCCGGGATGCCATTAAAAATAAACTATCCACTTGTTTGTTAAGCTGGGATCCTTCTGATAACTGTACAAAGATGCGAACGAGCTGTTTAAACCAGACGCATCAAAGCAAACGTTCTTTCACTGCATTTGTCCTGACGGCAGACTCGAGCGGTGGACTGTGTCAGAAAGTAAACGCTCATCTGTGTACTGTATCCAGTGTAGACAAGATAGCGGCAGTGATTGTAATTTCTGTTTGCTTTTGACGCGACACGACACTCGCATTCAGAGTGATCAAGTGTCGGCTGTTAAGAGAGTGAACACCAGTGGGCGGAGCCTATGGTGAGATGATGACTATTCGTCAATGTCTTGCTCTGGAGGCGTGTTTATGCAAATGACTGGGGCTAGGTGACGTCATCTTGCCCCTCGGATCCAAAACGGGCCGTGTTTGGAGCTTGATTAAATAAATGCTTTGTTTATAATGAGGAGGAGGTTTTAAGCTATGAAACTTGCAGGATGTTTTAATGGTATAAAGACCTCTTATATGCCAAAATATCAAGGCAAACTTGATTTCTCATGTCATGACCCCTTTAAACTCCTCATCAGTTTTCACTATTTAATTGTTTTCACCAGTTGTGACGTGATAAATCATGATAAATGTCACGTGTTCTCGTGCTGTTAGTCGTCGTCCCACGCGTCTCCTCTTACTCATGTTTTTAGCCTCTGGTGCTTCAGCGTGTCTCATTAGCCGCGGCTCCACAGGAGCGAAAAACTGCTGATAATCCTGACAGATACAGGCTGTGTGTGTTTATTTCCAGCCAGCAGCAGCGCTGCTTCACGCTGAGAGCTCACACTAACGACACGCGCTGGGAGTCTGACAGAAACAAGACCCATCAACACACACACACACACAGAGAACCAGCTGTGTGTGTGTGTGTGAGAGAGAGAGAGAGAGAGAGAGAGAGAGAGAGAGAGAG